CCATAGGAACCGGGGCATAAGGAGAGTGTCCTCATTAATTCTATATACTTTAGTAGTATACTTTTAAAAAATTAAAACTTTTTTGTGCCTGTGTCCCCTCAATTAAAAAAAATCTATGACTTATAAATTTGTTTGTCAAGGAAGTTAAGGAGTCCTCCCCAAAACACAATGTGTGGTTGTACCCTTCCAAACTTAAAATGATTTCTATAGGCCTCGTAGAGATATGCCCCATTCTAAGACAAAATTTTCAAGTTCAGCAAGTCTTCTTTTGAAAACAGTTTATTTGATAGACACAAACTGATTAAATATATATACAACCAAGACTAACAATAAAATTCATATAGTTTTTTAGAGGTCCGTGTTTGCTCTGCTCCTGATTTGTATTGTCTGAATGAACTATTGAGCTTGAATACTGTTCCTCTCCTTATATTTCATCTTAGACGTGGTAAACTATACATCTTGAATTAATCTTGGAAAATATTTTGGTAGGTTTACCTAATTTTTTACTCGAATACATCTGTGTGATTCTTGACAATTGTTTTAGCTTGCTGGGAATTTGTGACAGCTGTTCAAGGCAAAGAATAACTTCTAAGTATTTCTCTACAGCTGTCTCGACATACCAGAACTTAATAAACCAATCACATAAAACTCACAATAACAACAAAATCACAGAAACAACCCGCGAAATATCATATCTGATTTCACGGACAATCATATAAACTTCGGTCAACACAACATAGACAGAGCATAGAAACAATATCTCAAAACCACGCCCGATTTAACGGACATTCTTTCAACCACCCACCCCATCCCGAACAGAAAATAGAGAAAAAAGAAGACTGTTCTGTAAAAAGGATAGGTACAAATCCCTGAACGTTAGATAATTTTTTGTTTTTAGTTCCTTTTTTTCCGTGAATCGTTAATGATTTTTAGTAGTGTCATTTGCTGCTATTCTACCTTGAATTTCATGTTATGAACATATCTAAATTATGGTATGTTTTAAACAAGAATAATTTGTTGATATTCTGTATTTTAGTAAAACTACTATCGGTTTAACTGTTGGAACAGTTTTTCCTTTGAAGTATGTACTGTATATTAATCTTATCATTCCTGTAGCCTAAATTAAAATAAAATGGTCATACATTTTCTTTCAATTTTTAAAAATATTTATTTATTAATTTCTCTCATGATCAGTTGTGAAAACCGTACTATAGCATACATTTGTAGCATTTATTTAAATCGAATTAACAAATAATTAAGTTTTTAAGCCCGTGAGTCAAATGATTAAGTAAAGTTAGGTGTACATTTCTCTATATCTTTATTTTGGAATCTAGATTCCGTGATTGATACCGTTATCATCAAAGATTTGTGTTTGAGATCGTTCACTGTAATCTTTACAATTTTTATTGAATACATTGTATACATAAAGAATCCACTGAAGTGGGATTTTCTCTGTGAAACCAATATATTTTCCTCTGTACCATCTAATCATAAACCAACGGAAATCACTCCTAAATACAAACATAAATACAACTATCCTAAAAATTTATACGAACATTCTTGAGGATTTCAACTTTCCTGCTCGGAATTTATTTTCAATAGAAATTAATAATTTTGAACGTTTAAACTTAAAGGAAAATTATTCATTTCAAGGAAAGATTTACTGACATGCATATGAAGCCAAACTTTCTATACCAGCTTATTTTTTAGCTTTCCTTAATTATTGCTAGACCTATGAGTTGAATGCTTTTGGAAATCTACCTCATACACTTTATCTTAATTACATATAGATGTGTTTGGAAGTTCACTATGAGATTTATGGAGATAACGAACAGTATTCAAGTTCAAATATCCATTCAAACATTTCAAATTTTGGAGCAGATCAAATACGACCATCAGAGGTAAAATCGAGTGTCATGGAGGAGTGAGCAATCCCTGCTGACTGATCATACCCGCCGTGTGTTCCTTGTCATAATTGGGAAATAAATAAAAAAAATCCGTCAACAACGCAGTATTATTTAGATTAATACTTATCCATTACAATTGTAAATGTTTTGATGTTGCATTGAGGATTTATTTTTTAATATATTGTTTTAGACGTGATTTTGCAGATTATTCTACATGTGTTAATAAACATTATAACCTCTTCAAGAGTAAATTTTAATGGTGTTAACTATATTTAAAATACTTCTGCATTATCTTTTTTATTATCTTTTTCTTTCCAAAAGCGAAATTTTATTGAAAAAATAGCATAGAAACGTAAGGAAGTCTCAGCGTGATAGAACCTGTTGGTGAAATATTTGTTTATTTTCATATGAGGAAAAGAAGAAAAAATATTTTTTGAAGATTGCAAAATCAAGAAGGATACATATTTAGAGCACAGCAAACATTTAAAATAATTTAGTGACTGGATATTAAGGTCACATAAAGAGACACGTAAACGGAAATCTATACCATCTTTTTGTCTGAATATTTAAATGTCCTGATATTTTTCAAAGACAAAATATAAAATTTGATATCACTGAATATAAAGCGCTGGTGTGGCTGGACAAAGGTTTTTTGGAGAGGATAAATCCGCAGGTTGAGACACGTCTGTATTGCTTTAGTGGGGTGTTTACAGATTGCTGATGGGGTTATAATTATATGACAGCCCCCAGTCTACGGATATTCTCCTATTTGTTGTAGGGGAACCGCAGAAAAAAATGACCATTATAATTATCACTGTTGTTTTTCTCACGCACGATATGTTAGTTGTTTGCGTTTTTTATGTGTTTCAAGCCAAAGTATGGAGAAAGGAGTTCGTGGCTTCTTTATTAAGTTGCTTATCACTTCACCTACATTTACATGACTTTGAAAAAGTCCAGCTTATTTTTAATCATTTATTACTTTTATTCCGTGTTTTACGCCATTGCATGTACCTTGGAAAATGTACAAAATATATACCTTGGGAAGATTTCATACTACACTGTACTTTTGTATCGTTCTTTTGTATTAGGCCATTCCAAGTTTTTTCTAAGTTTAGCGTCCGCGTGCGCATTGGTTTTTGACACCCCATATGTGAAAAAAACACACAACAACAGGAATCCTGAAATTGATAAATTTAGCCGAAATTTTTGAATTTTGTAAATTTCTCCAAATAATTCTGTACAGTAAATTATATTGGGTGTATTGTAAGCATTTAATCCGTTGTTTTTGCTTAAGAATAGATATTTCTTCCATTAACGCAGTTTAGTTAGTTTAAATCATTTGAATGACGTAATCTTTATGACTTTTAAGCTTGTGTTTTATGTTTTGGCTTGTGTGTTTTTTGCGAATGGGTAGGTAGGTTTTTGAAAGATGAGTGGACGCTAAACAGAGAAAAAACTTGGAATGGCCTTACAGAAAAATCTGATAGCTTGAATGTAGGATAATGCATATTTTTATAAAGAAAATGCTGCAGAAAGATCATTTTTCTTCGTTTTCAGCTTTAAAAACTCAACCAGCGTAAAAATGTGGTTGAATACATTTTGTATACTGTTGTAATTTGAAATAGATCTAATTTCATTCAGTATAAGAATTAAGGGGAAAACCCACATAAATTTGCGGAAGTCTAAAATAAAATTACATTATGAACCTTAAGATTTTTCAAAAATGAAGTAAAGAAAACACATTGAGGTGATGATTTTAATTTTCATAAATGTTCTTTTCTTTAAAACAATTGTTGCTTTCTTTATTCCTTAAATATTAACTGAGTATTCGATTTGTATTACTTTTTTTATCTGAGTTTTCAATGAATTATAATTGTTTTTGCTTAAAACTGTAAAATACATGTAGCTTTCTTCTATAGAGTAAAAGTAAACGTGATCAGATCAAAAAAGAAAAGAAAGGCCATTAGAATAGCTGTTATGTTAATATATACTGTCCTTTTTTGAAAGTACCAATATCATTCAATTAGGCTGTGTTTTTTTTTAACATTGTTTATTTAGAAAGAACTTGGTAAGTATGAATTTGATTTTTTTTTCAATACATTGGTTGTAAATTTCACATTTCCAAATTAAAAAAAAAACAATCTGTGAAATTCAAGTTCTTTGAATAGAACTCTACTCAATCCGAATTTACAGTTCAGATAAGTTTTTGTTACATTTCAAAACTGAGGGTAAATCTTATACCAATGCTAGCATGTCTAGTAGTAGCAGTTTTTTACTCTCTTCTCTTTCTCCTCATTTACATAAAAGCATTAAATAGCAGTATTTACGGCCGTGTCTTGATTTTTGATTATCCTTAACGGATTCTTTGGGTGAGATTTTGGAAAGCATATACGTCCTGGCTTGGGAAATACACACGATCTGTAATAATCGATTTGTTGTCTAGCAGTTCCTGTCAGTTTGGAACCTCTAATTACTGGGTACACTCTCTCAGTAACTTATTCCATTCAGATAATTAAGTTTTCGTTGTTAAGGTCCTAATTTTTTGGGAGCTTTGTCTTCTTTTTTCTGCACTTTTTGTTCACCTCTTTCTGAATTTTAACTAATTTAAACAAGCATAAACTATAAAACTTTTTGAATGAAGAAACTTAATGTTTCTACAATTGTTTCCTTTAACTCATTACCTCTCCTCGTCTCTTGCACTTAAAAGCGACACTTACAGAATATATATGTGATGTTTAGTTGAGGCTGTCTCCACTTTAATCTTTAAAGAACGGGGTAGTGAAATATAAACAAGTGAAGAGCCCATATGTGTTATATAGACACCATCTCTTATTTTTTAGATCAACCATGCCAATAAAAATAAATACTTTGTTTTGTGAATTTTCTTTTTTCATTTCCCACATGGGATTAAAATGTTAAGTGCAAAACATGCAATCCAATTGTTAATCGCGGCTTAAAAGTATAGCAGTGAATCAAAATGGATAAGTCAACCAATAAAAACTCAAACTTTACGATATTTTAGCGTTCCGTGCTAATTAAGATGTTAGATGCCGTGCATTCACACGTAATCGCACACTGGTCATTGTTACTTACCAGTCAAAGACTGTCATGGAACTGCCCGTCTCCACACACAATCCGTTACCCATGGTGGACGATTTTCTTTCTCAGAAATTTACAGGAATCTATTTGTTTAATTGATGTAGAAAATAAAAAAAACCTACACACACAAACAATTAAAACTAAAATCACCAGTTACTCCTTATTCCACGATTCAATAAAAGTTAAACTCCCATCTTGAATTTGTTGAAATATTTCTTCAGTGATATGATATAGCTATAACATTCGGTCACAGTTAATGTCAGAGACATGTTTAAAGATTCCTAAAGAAATATCCGAAAAGTCTGGTGCACCGTGGAGCCAAAAACACAATGTTTGGTTGTTCGAAAAGCACCGCTGGCTTGTTATGCTCTAATCAGCACTGCTAATGCTTTGCAAGGTTTTACAATGCCTTTCATGAGAGTGGCTAGTTTAAAATTCCTATTACATATGGATACATGACTAAAATTTTCAGGGGGATACACAAAAGTTGACTGGTCTTGCGCGTAATAATCCACTGGCAGTTCGCCACGACGAGGTGCATTATTGTTTCGCCTTTGTTAATTTAAATTCTAAACACAATAATCATTTTCTTTACGGACTGTTTGCTGGTTGGTTTGATCAGTATTGCAAACAGAAGAAAGAAAATCATTGAAGTGGATAGATATACATTTAGATTTAATAACTTGGAGTTGTTATATTTGATTGAATTGCGAAGACCTCTAAAATGGGGTCCGTTTAAATGTAACCTAAATCCCTCCGATAAGACTGAGATATTATTCAATATTTCAACAGAAATGTTGAAGATATTATGCTGAATTAAAGATATTTTAGAATTATACGAGTAAATGATCGGTGATTTGATCTCAGAAGAACTTCTTTGCGGTGACGTCCTGAACCCCCTATATTTCATTAATTAGTCATGCCCGGTTTCCGCGGGAAAATGTGTGGCACCCACATATTCTGAAGTCGCTGGCAAACTTTCCTGGTATTATTCATGGTTTATAATCCTCTAAATACTGTTTTAATTCTTTCACCGTCTTTCTGTACTTTAACAGTTTTCTGTAAACATCAAACTTCTCTCTAATCCTTTATCCAGACTTTAGATGGGAGCATCAAAAGATGTTTTTATTATTCATATAATTTAACACTAATGTGAAGTAATTGTACATAAACTAGAATGTAAAGGCGTGTAGTCAAACACATGTCAGGTACTTGTCTACACGCGCATCACACGCGCGCCAGATGGCAGAAACTGACATAGATGTTTTATCCAGAAGTCTACGTCTCCCATTTTATCGCCTTCTTTCCCTGCACATAACACGTGCTGCTAATAAAACCAGCGCTACTTAAAACATCAAATATTTTGTTAATTACTGAGTACCTGCAAACGAAAATTAATTCATATCCCCATTAGACCATCTAATTTACCAGAATCTTCTATGATATAACAGTTTTGGAGGGATCCGTTAATGTTCAATATTTTTACAGATAGATGAAAAAAAAAAAAAAGATTGGGCTCGCAATGCGAGTCATTACTTATTAAAGAGGGAAGTCGTAATGTTGGAGAGAGATAAACGAAAATTTGATACTGAACAAAAATCCTTTCCTAGGGAGGGTGTTAAATTAGCAAAAAGACAGAAGTGCCACATAAAAATGTCAAGTACATGTATATGTATGTGTAATTCAGGGAGAGAGAGAAAGAATTTTTAATTTAGGCCTATAGCATGCTTTGAAAAGTTTAACATTCGTCTCATTTGACAGGGCTTTGTAGAAGTTTTATTTCATCACAGTTGTATTTCTACCTTTACAGGTAAATGCTTAAATGCATAAATTAAAATTGCTGAGCAAATATCTGATTATCGGAAAAAGTTCTAATTAAATTTTGGGGTGACCTTTGCTTGGAAGGAAATTGTTTATTAACCTAGGGAGCAGATGGTTAATTCATTTTGACAAACCGTTTTCCTGCTTTAGGAACGTACTTTCAAATAGTGAACCCACTTAACAGTCAAGACCAACTAGCACATTTAGGTGACATTACCAGTTAGCATAGAAAGGTCACATGACCAATAGCGCATGAGGATCACACGGCAAGATAGCATATGAGTCATATCACCGGCTAAGCACAGAAAGGTCACGTGACCAGCTAGCATGGGGTCACATGAGCAGCTAGCAAATAAGGGTCATATGAAAAGCTAGTTCATGTGGGTGACATGACAAGCTAGCACATGAGGTTGAATTGAGTAGCTAGCACAAAAGGTTCGCATGGCCAAGCTAACTCAGGAGGGTCACATGACCAGCTAACACATCTTAACAAACGAGCAGATAAGAAACTCATGACTAGCTATAAATGAGGGTGATATAACCATCTAACACAGGGTCACATGATTAGCTAGCAAATGAGGACCACGGGATCACAGGACCAACAAGCACATAAGGATAACATGACCAGCTTGTACATGATCTTTGACATGACAAACTAAACATGAGACAATGACAGGGTAGCATATGAGTGTGATATGACCAGCTAGCACTCGAGGGTCACAGGACTAGCTTGCTCATAAAGGTCGAATGACCAGCTAATAAAGAATCTTGGCATGACCAGCGAGCACATCTAAGACACAGGACCGACCAGCACATAATGATCACATGATCAGCTTGCAGATAAGATGCACATGACAATCTAGCATAAGATGGTGACATGGCCAGCTAGCACAGCAATTTCTTAAAAGCTCTGATAATTTTGAATTATTGAGCGAATAAATTCAGTTGTCAATTCACTGCATGTGATCTAGGTACTGTATTGATGCTTGCAATATTTGAATTAGCGATATCTACAGTTAAATTCAATATCACATTCTACTAAAAAGAACAATTATTCAGATGCATGCAATCAGTTATTGAAATATTGCTTTCTTCAGTAGGAATGAAATCAGTTCAATAATTTAGATATCATAAACTCAAATAAGTTACCCTTTAAATGTCATATTGCTGAAAATCATAACATATGATGATCATTTTATATAAATGTCCGTGAATTCAGGAACAGAATTTAACAATGCTGTAATAATCCTTGATGTACAAGATGTGTGTTTGGAAAGAAAGGTAACTCATCCTTCTGGAACAGGCTTAAATATCAATATCCATTCCAAACCGAGAGGGGTCTAGTATATTATAGATGCATACCCGGTATATGTTTTACCAGATTTTTTTTATTCAATAGTATATTCAAGAAGTAGTGTAAATTAGATGTGGATACTTAAAAATCCCAATGAACTTTTGGAACATTTGAAATCATTTCATTTCACCAAAATCAACAGCATACAAACTTTTTTGATATAATTCTGCTTTTCAATAAAAATGGAACTCGTAAATTGACTTAACTTGCCATTCGTCATTTTCAAAGTTATTTTGTTAAAAACATCCTGATTGTACACACAAATACTTTGAAGTCGACATCAAGATTGACAATTATAATAATCTACATGTCTGTTGTTTTCGGAGACCAGGTCTGAAGTTAATATTACCCGGCAGTATTGTCAATTAACAAACTAAAGGATATTTCTTGAATTTTAGACGTTTAGATACTTCAACGATGTGTTGTCCATTAACAACGGAGATTTACATTCTAATGCCGAAACAATATACATAATCCCGTTGAGCTTAAAATAAAATATACCACAGATTCTGACTCATCTGTTTCATATTTAGATATTTTACTTACACGTAAAGACGTTAATGGTAATCTATCAAGCTTTTTTGATATACGTGTTGACTTTAACTTTTCTATCGTCAACTTCCCTTACTTATGTATCAATATATCCCAATCACCTGCATACGGGGTGCATATCTTTCAGTTCAGTCGATATGCAAGAACATGCTCTATACGTATGAACAATTTCTAAAACAAGGTAAATTATTGACAAACGTTCAAGCCGTTTGTTTTAACAAGCGGATGAAACAAGAATACTAGCATTGTCGTTTAATGTTATCATTTCGTTAAGTTCTATGGTCAATACAATAACCTTATCCGCAAATACAATGTATAATTAAGGACAGATGGTACAAACTAAAAATGGCTGCCTGGATTGGTATATATTTTTTGGTCTTATTTCATTGAAAATGATGTAAGAAATTAATTTCTAGAATATAAAGAAATTGTAAACCTTCTATGATGTTCAAAATTCCACCTCTCTGAAACCATCCTTATTAATCTATACAAATATTTTTCACTTCAAATCCCATTTTTGTGAGAATCTGAATAAAAATTCAAAAGCTACGCTGTTAAACTTATTCATTTTACTATTTAAAACATGACTCAAGTTGTTATTTTCATATCATGCCAAGAAATCTCGTCCGATTTCGACAGCGATGGAGTCAATAAAAGTGTAATTGATGCAAATCACCCATATTCCCTAAACGCCAGCAAGACAATTTACGGCAGCAGACTTCTGGGGGTGGATTTTAGGTTTGAAGCTTTCTTAGTTAAAGAAAAAATAAATTTCAACTCCAGGAAGTAGTACAAATACCCTAAAAAGTTACTGTCAAATATCTTTATTCACAAAATACGTTTATTTTTAAGAAAATATTGGACTGAAGAAAAAAAGAAAAAAAAACAATCAAAAGAAAATATTCACTTTAAAATGAAAATATTCACTTTAAAATGAAAATATACACATAGCCAATCGGGTAACGTCTACCCAATCAGTACTCGTCTCCATCTTGTTCAACCAGGAAATGATGTAAACTTCCGGAAATTTGGTACTCTTTTATTTATATTTTGACACGGTATACTTCCACAACTACCCGATGACAATTTATTTGTACTGAGAAAAAATATTTTGAAATTGAATTACGTAAAAGAAAATTGAAAGGCAGTTTATTTTATTGAAGAATTACTTTACTATAATTAATTTCATCCCCACACCCCACACCCGAAAAAGACAATTTGGGGGGGGGGCTTGCTCGGGACCACAGGCTTCTAAATAACTAATATTCTACCTATAATTCTAACCCAGTAAATTTTAAGATCCCTCACTCAAAACTGCAGCCATTAATTGCTTCCGCACGTCTCCCAGGGGAAGAATCACAGATTAATGTTAAAGCTTTTAAAAAGTTTGCTATACGGAGAGAATGCTAAGGTTTTCTTGGCATGGTAAAGAGCTTGCAACCCCCTTATATTTGTTTAAAATTCATTGCCTATGAATCAATTCTTTTGAAATGATATGTTTAGACACAAAATGACTTATATATACCGGTAATACTTTTGATTTAGTGGACACCGGGCAAATGCATGAAACCTGAAGAACAAAATAACAAACAAATAAAAGTAACACTCTCAAATATTTCTTATGAAAAAATAATAAGTTCTTTAAACGAGTAAAATCCAAATGATGACAAGGATAAATACTCTTTTACATGTATTCTCTGACTGATTTTTCTGACCGTGAAAGTCACACCCCCCTTCTATTTGTTTAAAATTCATTGCCTATGAATCAATTCTTTTGATATGATATGTTTAGACACAAAATGACTCATATATACCGGTAATACTTTTGATTTAGTGGACAGAAGAGGACGAAATGCATGAAATATAGAACAAAATAACAAACAAATAAAAGTAACACTCTCAAATATTTCTTATGAAAAAATAATAAGTTCTTTAAACGAGTAAAATCCAAATGATGACAAGGCCAATACTCTTTTACATGTATTCTCTGACTGATTTTTCTGACCGTGAAAGATCTCAACCCCCCTTCTATTTGTTTAAAATTCATTGCCTATGAATCAATTCTTTTGATATGATATGT